TCTTGGGGCACGTTTAAAAAATAAAATAAAGCTGCTGCGCCTGCCAAGCGACTTCGTCCTCGCCCTCATCGTCGTCCTTGTCGGCAACGTCGCAATGCTGCACAGTGTGCTCATAAAAATATGCTTGAAATTGGTTTGCCATGCGAGGAAAACAAACGAAAAGCCCGAAAAAATACGCTTCAAATGTGTTTAGGCATGGGCGAATGTGCGCTACCCTGCCGAGTAGACGCACATGTGACTATATATTAATTAACATGTATTCTAATTATTCTAGTCTAATTTACTAAAAGCCATGACTAATTGTAAGGCTGATGACATTTCGAGCTTAACAAAATTGAAGTTCTGTCAATGGGACACTTCTAGTTAACATATTACAGGGTATACAACACAAAAACTCTTAGTTACATTTAATGTCGCCAACGACAACAGCAACGGCAAATGTCGCGGCAGGCGCAGGCCATGTGCTCCAAGGACCACGCTCCACCGAACAGGAGTACAGCCAAAAGCTGGAACGGCGCAAGCGAGCAGCTAGAGCAGAGTGGCTGCGGCTGCGACTGCGGCTGTCGCAGACGAATCGTTCGCTTTTGATTGTTTTGCAAACAAAGCGAAAGCGAAACAAGCGACCAAGTAACCAACCACCCACTCACAGACACACCCACACACACACACGCAATACTTTTTGCTTTCTTTTTCTTCTTGTTTTTTGCCCCAAAATGAAAAAGAGGAAAAAACGTGGCAACTTTTTTCGAGGGTGGATTTTCATTTTGTATGCTTCATGATTTGGAACTTTATTCGCCAGTCGCCCCTTGCCAAGCCGTAAACGTGTGTGTGTCTCTGTGTGTGTGTCTCTGTGTGTTTGTGTGCATGTGTTTTTGTTTGTATGTGGATTTTTTTTTACCATTTCATTATTTGCAAATTTATGCGGGGTGGCATTTTTGTGACTCAGTCGTTTGTTGTTGCTCTTGTTGTTGTTGCTACTCCACTTCCATTCCGCTCATCGATTTTCGGTTTTCATGTCGAGCGCTTTTTTTATGTAGATTGGCCATTATGTGGAATTAGTTTTTCTGCTGGATTTTCTCTTTTTGCACTCGTTGATCGCTTTGCCCGTCTGTGTGTGTGAGCTTGTGTGTGTGTGTGTGTGTGTGTTTGAGTGTGTGGCACATAGCAATGGCGTGCGCCATAAAATGTTATTGGCTGCTGTTAGTAAATGTGAATGTGAGGAATGGTTGATGGGCTTTGATGTGGCCAAGTATTATCCATATTATAGAAAATAAAGGAGAGCAACCAGTTTATAAGGCAGTACTCTTAACCGAAATAATAATAGTTATTAAACATAAATTAACAATAAATTAGATAAAAAATGTAAAGCAATTAGTTTACTGTGCTTGAAGCTAAGACTTAAAAGGAATAAAAGAATTTATATTTACTTAAATAAATTAATTTTAATCCAAAAGGTAAAACATTTAGTAAATATGTACAAAAAGGCAGCACTCTAAAAGCAGTTAATACTTGATGTATTTATATATTTATATTTTAGTGAACTATTATGTCTTCGAATTGCTTCAGTTTTTGTTATATTTAATTTATTATTACCATGATTACTGCACTAACTATGATATTTTATTCTGATAGAACTTCTTTATTTGAAGTGTTAATCAATGTTACCTTAATTAAATTAAATATTTAAACGAGAAAGTAAGGCATTTTAAGGATGGTATTAAAAAATCCCTTATTTGGTCAAGCTATCCAAATAAAACAAAAAAGGTTTTAAAATCAGAATCAATTTTGTATAGTAGTCTGATATTGAAATGATTTGGCATACATATAGGGGGTATATATAACAAAAATTTTTAAGAACCTACTTTTGAATTGATCGTTCCTATGAATACTATACGAGCTATACGATATGGTGGTTCGTTGATGTCTCCTTTTACGCGTGTCACATCTCATGACAAAATTATAATACCATCTACAAGGGTATAACAAATTATTTCAATATAATTTCAAAGATTGTTTATTTAAATTGTTTAATAATTTGTTTTTCGTCAATTTCGTATTGAAAACTGTTGGAAATGGGGGTCAAGCTAGCACGGGTCTATTTTAGTTTTTCTACTTGAGAGAAACACACTTGATCCGATCAAAGCCGGGTAATATTCAGGTATCAAGTATAATTCTGCTTGCAGAGCAAAGGTACATATTAATATTTATACACGTATAACCGGCATATATTCTCTATCTCTAGCTGCTGTAATTAGTTATAAAACAAACCACAATCTCAACTCATGTGTGTTGACTTTCTTTTTTGTATTTACCCAAAAAAATTTCCATTGGTTCCAAATTTACAAAAAGTACAATGACCGCAACGTGATCGAATACAAAAGACAAAGTTTTTATCAGTGAGTCAAACAAAACATTTCCACAATTCAAATATTTTTTAATAAATGTCATCACGACTTATTTACTTAGCATAAGCATTGGCAAACTGGACTCTATTTGAATAGTTTGATGTCAATAGGAGAATTTTAAAAATAAGCCCAGATAAGCTATGCTCTAGGGTCGGGGGATGCCACAGATAATTGTGCTCAAGAGTATGGAAAAACTGTTGTACTATATATTTTCCAAGTAAGCTATAGCTGATGCTGGGCAAAAGCTCAGCTTTGTGCAAAGTTTGAGGTCAGAGAGAAGGCAATTTTTAGTAGACTTTTCTACCCTGTTTTGACATCCACAAAGAAAACCCATAATGGACTATTGGAGAGAAAAAAATTAATGTGCTGCCAACGATTCAAATGTTCTATGTAAGATTCCCTGTTTGTGTGTGCGAGTGTGTGTGTGTGTGTGCGAGTGTGTGCGTGTGTGGGGGTGGTTGCTGGCCGCATAAATAGCCAGACGCGGGCTGAGAGGGTGGCTGCTGTCTTGGGTGATAATTTAACAACAAACGAATGCGAATACGAATGCGAATGCTGTTTTTGTATTTTACTTTTATTTTTGTCGCTTATTTTCGTCTCTCTTCTTTTTTACACACACACACTTGCTGTGACACACACGAAGGAGGGCTTGTGCTTGGTGCAAAAAGCAAGAAATTCACATAAAAATATACGAGTACTCATTATGATAATACGAAAATAAATGACAGTGGTGTTTATACTCATAGTATTACGGGCAGTTCCGACTCCAAGCGGGGGGCAAGAGGAAGGGCAAGCTAAATATGGCGCTGGGTTAATTCCAAATGCGAGAGTGTCTGTGTGCATATTGCCTAATAGATAGGGTATTTGAAGCAAAGCAATGTCCTTCAAAATAATCAAAGGAAATACATCAAGATTGACAAGCCAAAAATGGGAAAATGTCAGGTTCTGTAAGTAAATAAATAAAATATATCAATATTCGAAAATAAGCTTCAAACTGAAAATTAAACCCACAGCAGGTGGAAAAACGTGAAACACGTTTTAAATGTATTTTCATCTTTGGAAAATACATCTCAAATAAACGCTTACAGAAACCCTTGAAAAAAACTTTGAGGTTGATAGAATGGTAAAAAAAGAGCTAACAATAAACAGTTTTTGAATAACTGCTTGGGGTTAAAAAGTCGGTCATTCAGTCTGTCAATCAGTCTGTCAATCAGTCAGACAATCAGTCTGTCAATCAGTCTGTTAATCAGTCAGTCAGTCACTCACTCTAGCAGTCAGTCAATCAGTCAGTCAGTCAATCAGTCAGACAATCAGTCTGTCAATCAGTCTGTCAATCATTCAGTCAGTCAACCGGTTAATTAGTCAATCAGTCAGTCAGTCAATCAGGCAGTCAGTCACTCAGTCAGTCCACAATAAACAGTTTTATATATAGAGAAAAATTTACACCAAATAAAGTTAAAAGTAAAAGTAAATTAAATTTATTTAAGTTACTTTTCACTCATGTAGGGTATCCAACTGTCTGTGCTGCCCATTGGCTGGCAAGTGTTTTATATCTGTCATGGCTTACATTAGAAAATAAAATATGCTGTCTTTGTTTTGCCTACGTTTTATACCTTTGTTCTATTCCCCTAGCGAACTAGGGAGGAATATATCTAATTCAACTTTTGGCATAGGCTTTTTCTCCTACCCCAGTAACCGTGCCTTGGACTGCGTCTAATAGGCTCGTCTACTTTTCGTAAGCAGTTCAATTTTTTATTCTCGCTCGGGCTGTCTGTTCCGGCTTAGTCTTCGGTACAAAATGGCTGCCCATTAGCGACATATTGTTAAAGCCTTTGGAGGAGAAGGAGCTGAAGCAGCTGGCTGGCCATTTAGCTAATCTTTATGATCATCCGGTTGCAGTCCGTCCCGCAACAGCAAAGTAATGAAAACCAAGGGGTATCTCGTTTAAGTATATTATAGAGAATATTATAGCTATTGCGGTTTGAGCTGTACATTGAGCATCTATCCGTCAGTCAGTCAGAACAAAGAACTTTATATATAAAGATAATCAAAATAAAGCAACGACAATTACGATCTAATTTTTTTGTAGTTTTGTGGGGAATATGAGGAGGTATCTAAAAATTGAAATATTTATCATTTGTGTCTACTAATACCAAATTTGTGCATTTGGATCTAATAGTTTTTGAGTTATAGCTAAAAAACGAAATGGAAAGTGAATGTGATATCGACGAAAAATGAATAGGTTCTTTTGCGTAGGGTATATGGGAATATATATCTAATATTTCTCTATATCTTCATAGCTCAAGCTCTAGGCAGACATGGTTGACTCAGATCGTCGTCTTGATCAAGCATATATGTATATACTTTATGAGGTCCGCTTGTAACGTACTTTTACAAATCCAAATCCACAACTTTTTTCGCAATTTTGATTGGGTACACGGTGTAAAAAACCAACCTATATCTATACCTAATCCATCAGATACTGGCAAAAGAATCGCATTTGAATAATTGTGTCCGCAATTAAGATTTCCAAGCAGCACGTGGACTTAATGGAATGGAATATTAATCGGTTCCAATTAGAATACAATAAGTGAATTATAGTGAACTTTGCGTTTGATTTATTTAGTGGGCAAACAATGTAAAATAAAAACAATTTACCCTTTATTGTAAGCGAAATTATATATCTATAAGACTGAGATTCCACCTTAGAACTTCATATAGACCCACCACAAAAGGGCAGCAGGAATGCAGCAGGCAATAAAATGTACAACATAATTGAGTATTAAAAATCTATAAGAGACAACGAACGGTAAATGTGTTAAGTCTTGGTCTAAAACAAAGATTGACACTCTCAACCTACCGTTTATATAGCTTCTTTGCGGATTGAAGGGATTCCTTGGTTAACTCTTCTTTGAACAGATATGCACGCATTCCCATGAGGGCAACGACCATATATTGCTTCCAATCTAGAATATTCATATCGAAGTCAAATTTTAACCGATCCTGTGGTGACATGCACTGTAAGAGCCGATCAGAATTGCCCATCTCGAACGTCCAATTAGGGAAAGCAAATGGGAGTAATATTTTGAGGCCCTCGTGTACTTTACTATAGATTCTTTTCATTCGCGGCTTCTGGCCCTTTAGACGCAAACCCATATCGATGAGAAAGCCGGGCAGATGGTGATAGAGCACTGTCAACAGCTTGAAGAGCCACAAATTGTTGGTTAAAATGGCGAACGGGAACCATATCATTTGATTTACTGGATAAATATGCCTATTCTTTTCGTACGTTACCGCGTATTGCCCCCATGTTATCGGGTTTCGAGCGGCAGGAGCAAAGTTGTAAATAGTTGGATCTGGTGCAGGTATTCGGCGCTGGGCGTTGAGCTGGGTTGCCACAGCTGTTTGCCAGGCGCAGGACAGGACTAAATTGACACAATAGTCGACTGGCACAACATTGGATCGGGATTCTTTCTTTAAGGTCACGACGCGTACAACGCCAGCGGCACAGCCATATGACAGGGCAATGGGTCCATAGAGGTTGTCAATGCATCCTTGGAAGGGCTCCTTTAAGCTGGGAAGAACTTAAACCGAAGAGAGACAAAAATACTATCAAAATGAAGCTTGGCTATCGATCCTCACATACTCATGGCTGGCCGAAATATGCATATCGGTAGATCGGCAGCCTCCCTTTGCACCACCTGCTCCGCCAGCGCCTTTGTGTAGGTGTAGGTATTGGGAAACTTGCCAAGCAGGGCCGGTGTCATTTGGTCAATCAGATCGTCGCTCAGCTGATCCTGCAGCGCCAAAACCTTGTCAGCCGTGCAGCTCAATAGCTCGGGATAGAAGCACTCGCCGATGTGCTCGACCGGGCAATTCGAGAACGCCGTCGACACATGGACATATGCCTCCAGGCGGCCCATCTGCTTGGCTAGCTGCACAAGTAGACGAGTTGCACGCGTGTTGATTCTCAACGCGATGCTAAGCGGCTCCACAAAGTTCACCGTGGCTGCACCGTGCACCACCACTTGCACCTCCTTGATGAGCACCTGCCTGTCTGCCTCGCTCAATCCCAAGTCCGGCAGTGCACAGTCCCCAGCTATGGGTAATACCCTCTCCAGGGAGTTGGCCTTCAATTTAAGCAGTTCGCTGAACATCTATTTCCAGGAGCATTGCGTGAGAGTTCAATTATTTCTTCGGATCATGGGCTTACTTACAAAATTGCTGCGAAAAGCAGCCATGCGACTCTGGATTTGCTCGCCACGTTTGGGCCGTATTAGCATATAGATACGTTCCACCTCCGTTGTCCGCAACAGTTTTTCAATGATCACTAAATTGAATAAGAAAACAAATCACAGTTTGTAACTTAATTAGGTATCACACACTAAACGTAATCGTGTTGCACTCGATAAACTGTGTCCGGCATATTCCTTGTAATATAAAGGTTTACCTACATTTTCCCAGGAATCCGCTGCCACCGGTTAAGAAAATGGTCTTATTTTTATAAAATTCAGTAATATTTGAATCCATTTTATGCTTAGATATCGCTAAGGATAAACTCTTAATAATCCGCTCAAGTTGTAGCCGAAGCTTTCTAATCGAGGCAATAGCTCGAATACTCAAGTGCATTTTTCGTGCTCATGCCTTTTATAGAAAAATGTACTTTCGACTAAAACTGTATAAACTTAAAACAAGGTGCGGATATCTTCGACACGCCGATGATTTAATACCCTTGTAGATATTTGCTTTACGATTTTGCAGATACATATGTGAGTATACAGAAAACAATACAATCGTAAGTGCAATGCTGTTGATAGAATTCAACGAAGACACGGTTGAATGTGTTTGTGTACATGTATACAGAAATTCTTGCAATTTGCGCTAACTGCCGCTGATACAAGGCCAGCCAAAACACGCTTTCCTTAATAACTTTTGTGTTTCTTAACCGATCTTAATGAAATTTTCAACAGTAGATCTCATTGTACTATAGAATATTTGTATGCTCTCAAAAAGTCAACTGCATTTAAATTGTGGCTTTAATTGGTGGGCAGTATAAATAGATTTATTTACTTGATTTATAGCTATGAAGAAGTAGCGGGGAGGAGGATTTGGCTTACATATAAGCACCATAGCTTAACTAATAAATGTCGGGGTCGCAGCACTATGATATAGTAATCATATGTACTGCCTGTAACAGGAAGACGGATAATTGGATAGCTTCAAGGCCATTTTTGGTTACGGCTATATCAACTAGGTTGTTCGTGCTGATCTAGAATATATATACTTTATAGGGAACCCACCATGCGTAACACACTTCATAAAAATAATTCCAATAACCTCTAGAAGAGTATAACAACGTAACCGATAAATCTGCATATAAGCTTATGTTACGTACTTATTTCCGATTTATTTAAATACTTTAACGTCAGTCACGTTTCTAATCGAGTTCAGCCCGAGCGGTCATAGCAAAACAATTATATATAAATAATTAATTGATACTTTGCATTCTAAACCCAGCTGTGCAGTGCAATTGCATTTGCACCGTCTGGTAATGCGATTAATACGGCTGCAAGCTGACCCTTGGCATGGGCGACTAATTGTAGTCGGCCGTACAGAAGAAAACTTTATTGAGAAGGCTTTCCCAGCAACAGCAAAGTCAGATAAGGGCGTTTCTCGACGGCTTAGACGGTTACTCCTTCATCCCGACTCCTGAATAATTAACTCAAATATTAAATCTCTAAAAAACTTAGCTTGATGCTGCAGATGGCGGATTTATCTGTCCTAAAAAACGGCTCTGCTTCAGTTAAGGCAGACCAAATCAATCGCCTGTTGTATATATAGATATATATTTATATATCTAAATTAGAGATAAAGTAAGTATGTACACCCAATATTCCCATCCTAAGAGTTTTTTGGGCATGCATATCTTTATTTCTAGATGACGTATCAAAATACGTTTTGCCATTTGCGTCTCCTATGTCGTGGTCGGAGGAGGTCCTTGAACGATCTTCTCTTGAGCCTCCTGACTGCACACCTCCCAGCGAGGTCTCTTGCTACCCGGCTGCAGTGTCGCTGCAAGCGTTCGTTGTACCGGTTGGCGAATGCTCCGACTTGGCTGTCTATGGTCTCCATTTTGAGGTCTCTGTGCAAGGTAGAATTTCTGCAGCGAAGTGGCAATGGGCTGTTGGGGTTTAGTAGCCAGTTGGCCTTGGCCATCTTATAGCGGCACTGCTTAAGAAGGCCGTCGATGTGCGCCTGAAAACTATGCCTCTTATCCAGTACAATTCAAAGATACTTGGCGCTTCTGCCAGGTTGAAGGGGGCTTATATAATATTGAAATAACAATTTTGTTATGAAATGTGTAACACATAGAAGGAGACATCTCTGACCCCATAAGGTATATATATTCTATATGATATCGGCATTAATAGCGAAATTGATATAAGCAGTTCCGTGCGTCTATCCATCTGTCTGTTTCTATGCGAACTTATGTCCCAGTTTTAAAGTTGTGATACTTTGCTTAGGTGAGTCTTTATATTAGAAACAGTTCATATGTCGGACCCGGCCGGATCGGACGTATATATAACATACTTTTCATAGGAGAAAGATCGATCGAAAAGTGGGCTCTTGTATGAAGAACTTTTTTGTTTATCGAGATATCTTGACTAACCCCAGTTCTTACTAGATTAACTATGCTTCTTATACATATAAGCTAAAACTTATCAAGATCGCACCAATATATTATGTAGCCCTATAGGAAGGAAAATGAGTTGGAAAATTAGTTTTAGTTAGACAAAATATTTTCATTAAACTCAGAATTTACCAGCTTTACTATTCTCACATATTTATCGACAAAACCGTGAGGCAAATGTCTACAGGGGCATTAAATCTTCGCGTGCCGGAAATATCCTGACTTTCTCTTTTATTATCTATTTCCAAAATTCGAAATGTTAAATATGCTCTATTATATTCTCTTGTTTTTTTTTTTAATTTAATATTAACCTTTTTATTTACATTTAATATCTACCCAAAATTGTCGTATACTAAATATGATAAAATAAATACAACAGATGGGGCTCAAGTTTTTCAGGGCCTCAGAAAGTTTCTTAGCACAAATATATGAATCGGTTCGGGTTTTGGGTTAGGCTGTTTTTTATGCAGAAAATGATGTAAAAATGAATTTAAAATCCATAACTGCAGATATTATATAGAAATGCATGTGGCAACATTTTCCAGGGGCAGCTGCGTTTTTCGCTACAGTTTTGAGTTTGCTGTTGCCGAAATCCGTTACATTTTGGTCATAAAACTCGTCTGTTCTAATCCAGGGGTCAACAATTAAATGCCATTTGCGATGGCAACACTGAGATCGGCGATGAGCATTGTGGACTCAATGCCATGGGCAATGAATAATTATTTAAATGTGCCAACTATTTTGAATCAAGACGAAAAAAGGTCAAGCTAGGGGCGAGGGGTCAGCCGCAGCCGTCCATTCGTCCATTGGTCGATTGGTCGTCCCAGGACCCATTCCGATTGTGATCCTCGAAACGATTTCTCAACATGCAAAACAATGGGAAATGCGACAAGCAAAAATCCTTTTTTAGTTTTCCATTCTCTGTGTGTGTGTGTGTGTGCGAATCGAAATTGTTACAATTTAGAGCATTTCTGTTTGTGCAGCAATAAATTTGAAAATTGCAGCCCCTGCCCCTGGCCGTGGCCACCCCTATGAACCCCGGGGCCAGCATGCTGCCTCCTTGACGCTGCGTCTTATGCGTGACCCCGAATTCACGCAATTCCTGTGACACATTCACAGTATTCGCATTAATTTTAACCTCTGCTGACGCTGACAAGGGGTCAGCGCCGGCGACGTGCGCTCTCGTTGTTTAACCAATGACCATTGGCCAACCCCCGACCCCGGCCCCGGCCACGGCACCGCAGGGGTCACGAAAGTGTGAAAATGTATAACTGCCAGCCGGACTGATTAGATGGTCCGTGCTCGAGTATGCTCGGGGTGAGACCGTTGGGCATTTTTGGCGCTTATTCCGAATTGCCAATTGCCTAAGCTTGGGATTTGGTACAGAAACAGCCGCAGCCACAGACGATGCTCATTATACAATGAACTCGAACTCGCATTCGTATTCGTATTCGTATTCGTATTTGGGATTCATATTCAGTCAACAATTGTGTTGGCCATTGTGGAAATGCGTTTCGATTTTAATGCGCCGACAACGACCCAAAACGGCGACTTAGTGGGATTCATTTCAGGCGCATTACAAATGTAACCCAATGGGGTACAGGCAACGCAAATGATTTGTGTCCAAATAATAATAATGCATATGGCCGTATGCGAGTCTAAGAAGTAGATTCTATGCTAAGGTTTACGAAGCCTCAACTCTTGTCTAGTTATTTCTTGAAAATACTTCTACTTGCGGTTATAACAGAGAATAGTATAAGCGTCTAAATATATATATGTAAGTACATTGTGTCGGAATAATCACAAAATGTCTCCCGGTTTTTTGTTGACATTTTATCCATTGACCCTGGTGTCTATCTAAAGTATTGATTATAGAAATCTTAGGGACATTATTATTAATGAAGTTGACCGTGTCAAGTTTTGAGTTTCAAATTTTAGAATAAACTTTTTCACCCATATTCCGACCGTAGAAAATGTATATCTAAAGTTATATTTTACTTAGTTAAAAGTTTAAAGTCGTTGGTTTCACCTTGGGCCCGCATTTTGTATTCAAGAGCGGTTGATTTTACGAAAAGTGTGAAACACATATTAGATGAATTTGTACACAGATCTTTGAAAATAACTTTCATCAACCAATATCCGCCAATTTACCACAGTTGCGAATTGAATATCCAAAATCGTTGACAAATGTATGAAGGGCTTTGAAAATGAGTTTGAGCCCAATCGGAACTTTAAACTTGAAACACGTATCAAATGAATTTTCATATCACCAACCGAATCTTTGACCTCCATTTATACAAAGGAAGAATGGATTAGCCAAAAAGTGAAAGACACACCTCAAATGGATTTGAACAAATAATTTCGAATATGAGTTTCTCGCCGTTCAGTTGGTAAACAAAAAAGTTGCATGCAACATTTTTTTATAGAGATAGATATACAAGCATTAAACACATACATATACACGCATACATGTACATGCGTACGCACTTAAGTACATACATATATGCATTCATACTACATAGCACAAACAAACGTACCCACATCAATACATATACACATGCATACACACATACATATGTACATACACACAAACATACATTCATACATATCTGCATACATACATATATACATCTCGTACATGCGTACTGCATACAAACATTTATGCATGCCTACAAAAATATATACCTTCACTGATATATACATACACGCATTCATACACACGCATACATTTATATGCAAGCGTACTAATATTGCACATACATATATACATACATACATACATATGTATATACATATATACACACATTCATAAATACGGACATATATATATACCAACATACATATATGCATGCATACATGCATACATATATACATACATACAAACATGCATACATTTGTACTTATATACTTACATACA